CAGGAGAGTGGCGTTTGAAGCACCCAGCACCAGCACTGAGCTCCCCTCTTTGTTCTGCAGCACCCCCACCCCACCCCACCTCCCCAGCTTGGGTTCCTGGGGAACCTGGGAAACCTGGGAAACCTGCAGGTGGCCCAGGGCCATGGATGCCTGATCAGCGATTTGACTCTAGCTGGTCCCACCAGAGAATCCTTACTGAGTCCTTCGGCATCAGTGACACCACTGTCCCACCAGCAGCAGCGACTTGTTTCCTCGGCTGGCTGTCCCCACCCAGAGGGGCACCTGTAATCTGCCAGCCTAGAGTCTCCCGCACAGCAGGCCCCATGACCAGGCCACTGGCAATAGCTCAGAGTCAGTAAACACAGTAGCAAGGCTCATCAAGGGAACTGGGGGAGTGGGGGGGTGGGGGGGAGGGACGGGGTGGGGGGAGGAGAACAGGGCTGTTGTGAATTCAGCCCTGGGCAGTCAATCACGGTCCCTCTGTTTTACAGAGATGACATGGAGTAGCTGCAGTGGTGTGATGGACGTCACCAATTGAGTTAAGCCACCAGGGAAGCAGGCCCAGGGGGTTAGGGGAACCTTCCTGAATCCGAAGACCCTGGTAAGTCAGTGGCTTTGCTTTAGGGGGTGTTGTTTCCCGAAAAGGCATTGCTGCCAGTTTATGGAAAACAGACGTTTGATAAGGCCAGGCCAGTTGGCTCCAGAATATGCCATTCCCATGGAACAGAGAGGCCCATTGAGCTCTTTTCACCTTGCTAGTCACTGAGTCTGAGTGGATCTACCCCCAAAATTGGGAACGTCAGACCAAAGAGTTCCAAGGCATCCATGGGTCAAGAGCTTGCTAAGAACTTCCCCAAATTAAAAAACAAAAACCCAAACCCAAGCCAGTGTATGTGGCGGCTTGTCCAGCGGGTGGCACTGTTACACTAGGGAATGCCCCTAAGGGACCGGCAGCCATTAAATCTTTGATGAAAGCCGGTTTCTCTTTCTATTGCTGGAATCGCATCTTGTTTCTCCTGGACCACCAGGGATGGCTTAGGAAGGAACGGGTGAAGGGGAGGGGGCAGTCTGCACCAACCATGAGCCTTTCTGTACGTGCAGTACTGCCAGATGGAGAATTCCCTCTGACACTTACGGCAGGGAAAGTGCAGACACCCAACACCTGCATCCTTAGTACCCGCTCCCCGGCAGGGAGAGAGAGGCCAGCAGTGCAGTGAATAGCCCACAGGGCTCCACTCCCAAGACCACTGAGGCTTTCCTTCCTGACCTTTCCTTCCCCAAAACCCATCAGTTGAATTTAGGAGACTTTTTTCTCCGGGAGAACATGGATCAAAGAGTCTAACATGCTCACAAGTCAGGGACTGCAGTGACACGAGTCCTTGAAACCAGGAGGCCAGGCTGTCCCCTGGCTGGGAGCTCAAGGAGACGTGGAGGCTAACCCAAAAGAAGAGTGGAAACAAAAGGAAACAAACAAGGTCAGTCAGCTTCTTTCCCCCCTTTCTTCACGGTTTATACCTGAACATGGGTACTTCTTCCTTCTAGTTTCTGGTGCCCCAGCCCTGGGGCTTCTTCTCCCTTTGGTGGCCACCATGTTCCAACCTGCAGTCTTCGTTGCTTTTGGCGCCTCCATGCCCAATGCTGAGAAATGACCCTGATAAAAGAGTGGTCAGGGTTTGTAGTTTTGGTCCACACAGTAGGAGACACAGGAGAGCAGATGTTCAAGAACCGGCTTCCCCAACACTGAAAAAAATTGTAAGATATTGTAAGATATCTTTATGACATTATAAGATAATGTCAAAAATATATTAGACAACTTAAAATGGAATACTAGAAACAAAGTTTAACCCAAACAAAGGTAGGAAAGGAGAAACAAAAATGAGAACTAGAAGAAAAAAATAAATATAAAATGGGAGGTCTAGATCCAAATATATCAATAATTACATTAAATGTAAATGACTTGAACATACCAGTTAGGTTAAAAGCAGAGGTTTTTTAAAAATGACTCAAGTACATACTGTCTAAAGAAACTCTTCAAATATGATAACACAGGTAGGGTAGAAGAAAAAGTATGAAAAAAACTATACTATGGGAAAAAAAAATATGGAAGCCCCAACCAAAGCAAAGTAAGAGTGACCATATGAATATCAAAGTAAACTTCAGAGCAAAGAAAATGATGTTAAAGAGAGACATTACATGCTAATAGAAGAATCAATTCACTAAGAAGGCATAACAATTCTAAATGTATAATACCCTAGAATAGAGCTTCAAAATATAAGAAGCAAAAATTGTCAGAGCAGAAAAGGAGTAGATATATCCACTAGTATACTTGGAAACTGCCAATCCCCTCTATGTCATATCTAGAAATAAAAGACAGAAAATTAGCAAAGATAGAACTGAACACCACCACCAACTAACTTGAATTAATGATATTTATAGAACACTCCACACAAAAACAGCAGACTACACATTCTTTTCAAGTACACATGGAACGTTTACCGAGATAGACCACACTGTGAGTCATAAATCAAACCTTTAACAAATTTAAAAGGATTTAAATCATATAAAATACGCTTTCTGACTATAATGGAATTAAACTATAAATCAATAACAGGAGGATAACTGAAAATTCTCCAAACATTAGGAAAGAAATGACACACTTTTTCAAAGGAAGTCTCAAAGGAAATTAGAAAATATTAAACCCTAAGAAAATTAATATATAAAATATCACAGTTTGTGGGATGTAGCTAAAGTGGGAGTGGAGTTAACTACATTAAATGTTTGTATTACAAAACAAGAAATGTCTCAAAGCTACTATCTGAGCTTCCGCATAAGAAACTTGGGGGGAGGGTGGACTGGTAGGGGGCAAAATAAACCCAAAGTAACTAGGTGAAAGGAAATAACAAAGAGCAATTATTAATAAAATTGGAAACAGAAAAACAGAAAGTCCATGAACCCAAAAAGTGGTTCTTTGAAAGAGCAATAAAATTGATTTTCTCTAGTCAGACTAACAAACAGAAAAAGAAAGAAGACAGAAATTACCAGATCAGGAATGAAAAAGGAAATGTGGGATCCCTGGGTGGCGCAGCGGTTTGGCGCCTGCCTTTGGCCCAGGGCGCGATCCTGGAGACCCGGGATCGAATCCCACGTCGGGCTCCCTGTTCATGGAGCCTGCTTCTCCCTCTGCCTGTGTCTCTGCCTCTCTCTCTCTCTGTATGACTATTGTAAAAATAAAAAAAAAAAATAAAAAAAGATTAAAAAAAAAAAAAAAAAAAAAAAAAAGAAAAAGGAAATGTAACTACAGATCTCATAGACATTAAAACAATAATAGCATCTCTGTGCAAATGAATTTGGCAAACTACATGAAATGGATCAAATTGTCAAAACCCACAAACTCCAAAACTCACCCATCGTAAAACAGATAACTAATTTTTAAAAAATTCTCCTTGGGGGGGCACCTGGGTGGCTCACTGGTTGAGCATCTGCCTTTGGCTCAGGTTGTGATCCTGGGGTCCTGGGGGGACCATATCAGGTTCCCCACAGGGAGCCTGCTTCTCCCTCTGCCTATGTCTCTGCCTCCTTCTCTGTGTCTCTTATGAATAAATGAATAAAATATCTTTAAATAAATAAATAAAACATTCTCATCGCCCAAAAAAGAAACCCTATCCCATTAGCAATCACTCCCAACTGCCCCCCACATACACACACCTCTAGCCCTAGGGCACCATTAATTTACTTTCTCTCTCTATAGAATTGCCTACTCTGGACGTTTCATATGAATGGAATCATACAACATGTATTCTTTGTAACTGGTTTCTTTCTCTTATCACAATATATTCAAGATTCATTCATGTTGCAGCATGTGTGAGTCCTTCTGGTTTTTTTCAAATAATATTCCATTGTCTGGATATACCACATTTGATTGCTTAAATGATAGATGTTTGGGTTATTTCCACTTTTTGGCGGTTATGAACAATATATCTACAAACATTTGTACGTAAGTTTTTATGTGGACATAGATTTTCATTTCTCTTGGGTTTATTAGGAGTGAAATTTCCCAGTCGTATGGTAACTGTATGTTTATCTTTTTGAGGAACTTCCAGACTTTTCCAAAGTCTGTACCATTTAGGTTCCCACCAACAGTGTATGAGCAGTTCCTTACAACACTTATTATTTTCTGTCTTTTTAAAAATTCCAGTCATCCTAGTGAATGTGAAGTAGCACCTCATTGTGATTTAAATGTGCAGTTCCTTGATGACTAATGATGTTAAAGCCTCTTTTCATCTGTTTATTGGCCATCTGTAATCTTCTTTAGAGAAGTGTCTATTTCAGATCCTTTGACTATTTTAAAATTAGGTTGTCTTTTTATTATTGATTCTAAGTGTTCCTTATATATTCTAGGTATAAGTTGCTTATCTGACATATGATTTGTAGATATTCTCTTCTGTAAGTTATCTTTTTACTTTCTTGGTGGTAGCTTTACAAAACTGTTTAATTTTGATGGTTTATCTTTTTTTCTTTTGTTGCTTGTGCTTTTGGTGTCATATCTAAGAATGCTTATTCTAATCCAAGGTCATAAGTATTTATATTTTTTCTAAGAGGTTATTTTCTCAACCTAAAAGTTCTTAGTTTTTGTTTGTTTGTTTGTTACGATTTTATTTATTTATTTTAGAGAAAAAGAGAGCACAAACATGGGGAGGAGGGGAGTAGAGGGAGAAGGAGAGTGACAAGCAGACTCTGCTGAACACTAAGCCTGACATAGGGCTTGATCTCAAGACCCTGAGATCATGACCTGAGATGAAACCAAGAATTGGCTGCTTAACTGACTGAGCCACCAGTGGTGCCCCAAAAGTTCTTAGCTTTTTAACCTTCTCATGAAAAATCTGTAGTCACCACAGATAGAGTCACTGCAGAATCTTTATTCTTTTTGTTGTCCCATTTCCAGCACCAACACTAGCATTTTCAGTCCTCCTGACTTTCTTCATTCTGTTCTTGCATTCCTTTCACTGTTTTCTTGAGGTCTTTTTCTTTTCATACAGGCCATGTCTTGCAAGTCTATCTTTGGGTTCATTTTTCTTTACATCATCCAAGGAATAATAAATCATGCCAAAGCCAGTTGTCTTGCCACCCCCAAAATGGATCCTGAATCCAAATACAAAGATGACATCTGGTGTGGTCTTGTACATTTTGACTAGTTTTCCCCCAAAATCTGTCTTAGGTACTGTTACCTTTTTGGGGTGAAGAACATTAATGACCATCGGTTTCTGCTGAAGTAGTCTGTTGGTCAAGAACTTCCTGGTCTGGATAGTTACTGTGTCATTGATAATGATGGCCAAGCTTCAAGCAGCCAGGCAGGAAGAGAGATTTCTGAGTTTTATTGTTTGGGCTCTAACATTTTGGTCTAGGATCCATTCGAGTTAATTTTGACATATGTACAGTTTGAGGTAGGGACCTTTTGTATATGAATATTCAGTTCCTAGAAAGACTATTCTTTCCCCATTAAATTGTCTTCACATCCTTGTTGAAAATCTATAAATATGAATCAGAGTTTATTTTTGGACTTTCAATTCCATTTCATTGGTTTGTATGTCTGTTCTTATATGAATACCACGCTTTCTTGATACTGTAGCCTTGTAGTCAATTTTTTTTTTAAATTTTAAAAATTTATTTGACAGAAAAAGAGAGAGTGCATAAGCAGGGGGAGTGGGAAAGAGAGAAGCAGCTTTCTTGCTGAGCAGGGAGCCTGAGGCAGGGCAGGATCCTAGGACCCTGGGATCATGACCTGAGCCAAATGCAGAGCTGGTACCCCACCTTGTAGTCAATTTGACATGTGCAAGTCCCCCACTTTGTTCTTCTCTGTTTTGGTTATTGAGGGTTCCTTGCATTTTCTTTTCTTTCCTTTTCTTTTCTTTTTTTAAAGATTTTATTTGTTTATTCATGAGAGGCAGAGAGACAGAGGGACAGAGACACAGGCAGAGGGCAAAGCAGGCTCCATGCAGGGAACCTGATGTGGGACTCAATCCGATCTCCAGGATCAGGCCCTGGGTGGAAGGCAGTGCTAAACCGCTGAGCCACCTGGGCTGCCCTTCTTTGCATTTTCATATGAATTTCAAGATCAGTTTATCAATTTCAACCAAAAAGGCACTTGGGATTATATAGAGATTATGCTGAATCTGTAGGTTAGTTAGGGAGTATTGCCATCTTATATTAAGTCTTTGGGATGCCTGGGTGGCTCAGTAAATTAAGCGTCTGATTTGATTTGGGCTCAGGTCATGATCTCATGGTCATGAGATTGAGCCCTGCATCCGGCTCTGTGCTCAGCTGGGAGTCTGCTTCAGATTCTCTCTCCTCTCCCTCTCCCTCCTTGTGCTCTCTCTCTCAAATAAATAAGTAAATAAAATCTTTAAAAAAAATATTAAGACTTCTTCATTTATTTAGGTTTTCTTTAATCTCTTTCAATATTGTTTTTCACTTTTCAGTGTTTGAGGCCTGTACTTCAGAAGTTAAATTTATTCCTTTTTAATTTTTTTAATGCTATTATAAATGTAATTTTGTTCTTAATTTCGCTTTTGAATTATTCACTGCAAGTATATACAAGAACAATTTTTGTTTTGTATCTTGTATGTACAGTTTATATTTTTTTGATGTATTGATCTTGTATTCTGTAGCTGACTTCATTAATCAGTTTTAGTTTTTAGTGCATTCCTGAAGATTTTGTCTATTCAGGGGCCCCTGGGTGGCTCAGTGGCTGAGCATCTATCTGCCTTTGGCTCAGGGCATGATCCCGGGGTCCTGGGATCGAGTCCCACATCAGGCTATCCACAGGGAGTCTGCTTCTCCCTCTGCTTACGTCTCTGCCTCTCTCTATCTGTGTCTCTCATAAATAAATAAATAAAATCTTTAAAAAAAAAAGGTTTTGTGTATTCAAGATTACATTGTCTGCAAACAGATAGTTGGAGGGAAGATCACATAGAATAGTGCATATGTCTGGTATGTAGTGAGCTCTCCATAGGTGACAGCTTGTCTCATGCTTCCTTGTTAGGTGCTATTCCCCTCCTGCTACCACAGGTGGAGGTTCTCCTCCTCTGCAGTCAGTCCTCCGCAGGCCATCTCTGCCTGGCTGGATTTCCAAGGACTGAACTACAGGCAAGGCTGCCGTGCCTGAACCAATTTACTCTAAGCCCTGAACACCACTTTCAGCCCCTTCATTGGCCCTGGCTCTAGCAACTTCTCCCAGGCAGAAAGCAATCCCAGACCCAAACTGTGCCCACCCCCATGGTGTCCCCAAACAGAAAAAGAACAGAAGTGCAGGTTTTCACAGCTCTGCATTCCATCTTCCCAAGATGAGTCCTGTGGGGAAGGGGTCCTTTGAGTGTGAGGGAAAGATATGGAGAGAACCTACCTTAGCAGAGGATCCTTCAAACCAAATTGTGACTGACTCCAAATAAACCAAGGTTAAAAAAAAAAAGCTACATAAATGCTAATTTTATATTAAAATTATAATATCTAAACATTCTGCCCCCGTGTATATTACATACCTGTAAAGCAGTTTCCAAACACTCAACACATTTCATTGCTTGCACACAAGGGCTGGGCCCTGTCCTGGTGTCAGGACCATGGTTCTACCTTGAGGTGCCCAAGTTCAGTGACAGAGATGAGGTGAGCTGTGTCAGGTGGGCTTTGCCGGCTCCCTGACAGAGTCTACCTTGAATAAGCTCTTACACTGTGTTGTGAGTTCGGCTTTCAAGTGCACAGTCTCCTCTTCATTGAGGGGATAGGGCCAAGGGTACTCATGGGCCTTTGGATACGCATTGGGTTTCCTGGCGGTCTCCAGAGTGGACCCAGGCCTTGATGGGGATGGAGGCCCTGCTGCCTCTGAGAAGCATACCCTTCAACCAGCATGAGGCCAGGCTCATCATCAACCTCCACCCTAACTGCCTGATGCCTTGTCCCCTCCACATGCGGGGCAGGGGCTGAGGCCAGTCCTCCAGCAGGAGCTGAGCGTCAACGACCACCCATTGCTTGTGCCCCCTCTTCCCAGCCTCTGTCAAGTCAAGGCAATAAGGCCTCTTCCACAGGGCCACAGGGAGGATGAGGTTGGCAGTGAGCACAGTGCAGGGGCTCAGTGAGGGTCTGTCACCTTCCTGTGTCCCTCCTACATGGGGTAGAAGGCATAGTGGTCAACAAGTGCAGTTCACTTCCTCTGAGTCAGGTGCTATGCTTGCCCCCCCTTTTTTTTAATTTTTTTAAAATTTTTATTTATTTATGATAGTCACACAGAGAGAGAGAGAGACAGAGACACAGGCAGAGGGAGAAGCAGGCTCCATGCACCCGGAGCCCGATGTGGGATTCGATCCCGGGTCTCCAGGATGTCGCCCTGGGCCAAAGGCAGGTGCCAAACCGCTGAGCCACCCAGGGATCCCATGCTTGCCCCCTTTTGATGAGGCCTCATTCAGTCCTGGAGTCAGGGCCCCACACTGTGCCCTGGTCTGAGAGCACAGTCAGCATCCGCTGCTCTGGAGCACGGTAAGCAGCAGGGCCAGGGAGGACAACTCCAGGCAGAAGAATCTTCTTAGCCTAAGCCCTGCCTGAGGGAGGCCAGGCTGGGCTGCGCTGCCCCGCCAGTCCCTGGAGGGCACAGGGGCCCAAGAGCCCCCCCGCCCCCCCCCCCCCGTTGGAGCCCAGGTCCCCACCTCCATACCTCCCCCACCCCAGGGAATCACACAGCTGCACTCAACCACACAGGATTGCTCAGAGATATTATTCCCCACGCTGAAAAAAAAACCAAGGCTATTATGAGCAGAGTCTGTTGAAAGAAGGGCTGAGAGCATTTTGGAGATGCATTGCTGTTAGTCGGTTTTATGGCACATTTGCATTTAAATAGATTCTTTAACTCTTTTTCTGAACTTCACAATAATACAGCCTTAAAGTGCTGACTAATAGGGTGGCGTGTACTTAATTTTCACTTTAATTTTAACATTGATACATTGTCTTATCGTAGCCGTTCCAGCTCAAATGACACTTGCAAAAACGCAAGTTTTAAATGTGTTTTTTTTGTTCTTTTTGGTTAAAAATCAGACAGCTCCTGGACCTGCGTTACAGAAAAGGTGCTCATCTTGTCGGTGGGCCCAGCTGTCCCAGGTCTGAGCTCTTCCTAGAATTCAGCCAGCCCTGGCTCCCACCTCCGACCTTGGCAAGCTGCAGCCTCCTGCAGGAGAGCCCTGCCAGGAAGGGCTCCGCATGCTGAGAGCCAGACCTCCCTGGGCATCAGCCAGGGGAGTGCTGGTCTGGCTCATACCGCCTCTCAAGAGCTGATGATTACGTGTTTAGGAAATTTGCAAGCGAGTTTCTCAACTGCCAGTTTCTCAACAATCATTTTTTTTCTTTTTTTTTTCTCAACAATCATTATTAAGAATTAAATGATGTCAACTTATAAGTAAACAAAATATATTTTAAAATAAAGGTAAAATATACTCCAAACTCATTACTTCATTATTATTTTATTCCTCCCTCTGCCCCCCGAGCTTATTCCATCCATGATAGAAGGACTATATAATAGTTCAGTAAGGTTATGCTGGTGGTTTAAAATTGGCCCCAGTGGGAACATTTACAACCCAGTACCCCTTTTTTTCAAAGAGGCAGTTGCTAACCGTGTACCAGCATACCACCGAGAGCAACGGGCCCAGCCCTGAGTAACTATGAGCCTTTTTTGGTCTTTTCAGCCCCAGGGTGGTCAGCCCCAGGTGGCCTCCTCCTAGGACCATGCTCTCAGCATTCCAGGAGTGGCTTGGCCAGTCCCAAAGGCCTATAGGATTTCTCTTGATGTAGCCCAAAGTAGCAAACAAAAGCAGCTGGAAGAGACTGCTAAGGGGGTCTGTCTGGTTCCCTGCATGCTCCCTCCCTCTCTGAACTCTGAGAAAACTCCCTGCAGAGACCTCTACCTACTCCTCTCCTTTGGCCTTGGACCCACCTCTCCTAGGAGATATCTGGGGCCTTAGGCCCAGTGGTGCTCTGATCCTAAGGACATCTCAAGGTTCTGGCCTCCCACCTGGATGGCAGGTGGAGCATCTCACTGATTTCTCAACTTCCAGCCCCTTCTCAGGTCTTCATCTCACGGGGTTCTTGTGATGCCCCTCCTCTCCTCTAGGACCCACACTGGCTCCCTGCTACCTGCCCAGCCCTTGACAACTCTCCTCCCTGGCTCTCAGGGACATGCCCTACCCTGAGGTTCAGTCACTGTGATTAGAATGAGAGGCTC